CAATAAACCTAAGCCCAATTAGTTCTTGGTCTTTGTTTGTGAGATGGATTCACTGGGTTTCTATGCTCTTGCTTAGCTCCTCAAGCTTCTTCAACCTCAGCTTCTCGCTTTCACCAACCAACTGTGACATCTCCCCAGGGAGAAAATTAGAACAAAGAAAACAAAACAACACGGTTAATATTATATTTAAAGCGCGAAAAAGCTCGGTTTTTTGTTCTCTTGATTCAGTGAATTTAGAACAGAGAATTCGAAACTAACCTCCATTAGCTTGGTGATGAGCTGAACTTTCTCACGGTTCTTCTCGTTGAATGTATCCAATGCTTCTTTGTATTCCCTCTCCTGTTTCATGTCATCAGACAAAACAAACACACATGAGTTTCGGGTTTTGTTCAGCCTCGCCGGGATGGAATCAAAAGAACACAAGTTTTAAAAGGTTTTGAATTTAGTGAAAACAAATCTTTGCTAAATCAAACATTTTGTCAACACCATACCATAACAACCTGAAAACCTACTGAGTTGACATTTAGGGATTGCATTTTCGGAGTTGGGTTTGGTAAAGACCAAAACATTTTTTTATAGCCAACGTTTATGAGACATGTTTTTTACTGGTTAATCGAATGAAGCAACTGCTCTAGAAAAGTATTTACCTTCTTTTGAACTGTCGCACCTAATGGTTTAAGTTCTTTGTTGACGCTATCAATCTTCTTACGCACCCAAGAAACTTCTTTCCTCATTGGATCAGCCATAGACTCAAGCTCCTGAAACCACATTTCCACAAAGTTAAATCCTTTTTGTGAGAACAGAACTTGTGAATAAACCCAACATCAAGATGCAAATGTTCATGTCCAAAATCCTAGAGATTTCAGGCTTTACAAGTTTAATCATAGCTTTCACTTTACTGTGTGTGATCTAATGTCCAGAAAGATACAAAACCCATTTACTCATCAACAAATTGAGTACATGCAGAATCATTAGCTTAAAACATAATCACAAGATGAAATCACGACCCAATTTAGATTCCAAGTTAAACCATTTCTGTTTAC